TATGGGTGATGATACGGCTAGCAGATAGTTCATGGGTTCTAAGGGTCTATTCAATTTCCGCGAAAAAGCATGCGATACATAAGAATGTGTAGACCCCGAATCAACGTAGCCAAACGAAGCCTTAGTTTGATTTCACTATTTGGCATATAACCAACAACAATTTTGATAGAGACCTTTACATATATATAACTCTTACAATTCCTATGCTCATTCCATCCATACATATAATATGGGACTGACACATATATAATTAAACTCTACACACACATCAAAGACCCAAAATCAAATTAAAAGTCATGAAACCCTTAAAAAAAGAATCTCAAACATTTTTATAACCCAAAATTGCATTTTTGCCAAACAAACCAAAGACTCTCTCAAGTCAGCAAGTACAGCCGAACCAAGAGGGCAAATATTCCTTACCTTTTCAAGCAATTAATTCCAAAGTGGAAAATAGCCAAACACACGACTTTCCACACAATATTTGTAAAAAGAGAATCCACTCTCCCCAGCTAAATTCCAGCACGCAATACTGTGTACTAAACACAGAGAGAGAGAGAGAGAACATTCATTCACTATGCAAATCAAGACCCTCAAAACTATTCTTGAAAATAAAATTAATGCGATCTATCAATCAAAATTTGTCCTCAAAATCAAGGTTCAAAACCCACTGCAAATCGTGCATGTACGTACCATCCAACGGTGATGGGGCATTCCATTGGAAAGCGATCATTCGGGTTCTTAGATATCTAAGATTTACTCGTGATCATGGTTTGAACTTTACTCGATATCTAGCAGTACTCGAAGGTTATTGTGATGCCAATTGGATATTGGATACTAAAAATTCAAAATCCACTAGTGGATATGTCTTTACTCTAGGAGGCGCTGCTGTTTCTTGGAAGTCCACGAAACAAACTTGCATCGCACGATCCACAATGAAATCTGAGTTCATTGCTTTAGACAAAGCAGGTGAAGAAGCAAAATGGCTTCCTCACTTCTTAGAAGACATTCCAATGTGGCCAAAACCTGTGCCAGCTATTTGCATTCATTGTGATAGTCAATCTGCAATAGGCAGGGCACAGAATCACATGTATAACGGTAAGTCACGACATATTCGTCGTCGACATAATACCGTAAGGCAATTGTTGTCAAACGGAATAATCTCAATAGATTATATAAAATCTAAAGAGAATATTGCGGATTCGTTAACAAAAGGTTTGACAAAAGAGCTAGTATATAGTTCATCAAAGGGGATGAGATTAAAGCCTATTACATAAGAGTCGTCATAATGGTAACCCTATTTATATGACTGGAGATCCCAAGAACTAAATTCAAAGGGACAACTAAGTTATGTATGACTCACCAAAAATCACCAAGGGATTAAAATTCCTATCCATTCCAATGGTGAGAGTGATATCTGCAACATATGTTGTCTGCAGAAGTATAAGGATAAGCTTTGCTTTTAATGATTACTTATATCTTGATTAAGGCATAAAATCAAGACGAGTATAAGGAGATACTCACAATAAGAATCACCTATATGAGTGTTGAACTGGGGCCGGTTCTATGAGAATGAAAAAGGCTACATTCTCTAGAAATACTCATGAAAACCAGGTGCGTTCAAGGCCAAAATGAACACAACAGTGAGAACCACGATGTGTCAGAAGATATTTTGTGTGAAATCTATTGTCTTGGCTTACACAAACGGTTGAACAATTCAAGGCATCGCGTCCATTGGTTAGCCAGTAAGTCCGATAGGTTATCATTAGGGAAGGTTCAAGGCCGAAAACTACCTATCCTAATGCAAGATATTTTCAACTTATACTCTTTCGTTATAGTCTGCATATTGTTGCATTTCCGTTGTCATCAAATTCTATTCATGTGGGGGATTGTTGGAAATGGTTATTTTTCCTCAAGTTTGGTCTATTTTTTAGGTGGGCCCCGAGTGTCGATTTACTCGGGTCAAAGTGGTAACGCGTTCTATGCCGCGTTGTGATTCACGTGGTATATTTGGTTGCTCAAAACCATTACCGAGTGAATGGGAAATTGAAGCCAAAGTGTGCTCCATGGAAATGGAGTTTTGGTGGAAATTCCTTAAGGTTGTAAAATGGCTTGTCCCACATTGATTTGGTGGGAGGTTTTGAATGGGTTTATAAGGCTTGGGTTTGGTACTTGGGGTGTGCCCCAAGGGATATCCAAGTGTTTTAGAGGGAGAGATTATGGGTGGGCTGGGTGGCCCTGGGTGCGGGTGCGGGATGTGAGGTTGGGCTTGTTCGGCCTAATACTAATCTTTTTGGGCCAAAAACATTTGAATTTAATTTCATTTTTTGGTAAAATAAAATCCATAATTCAAAATTAAACTAGTTTGGTTTTACTGTACATCCAAACAGGGCCCTTCCCGAAATAAACTAGTCTGGTATTATTGCCCTTCCCGTTTTCAAACAGAAATAAACTAGTTTGGAATTAGCGCACACCCAAACAGGGCCCTTCCCCTTTTTTTGCTATCTATTTGAATTATTAACAGATTCAAATCTGTTTGAATTCAAAATCAACAGGTATCATACCCGTTCAATTTAAAACCAAGAGCCACCTTTACATTTATAAATAGGACCACCCTCATTTGATGTTATTTCATTCAGAAATTTCGTATTTCACCTCTGCTTATTCTATTCTTCATTTAGTTGCATTTTATTTCTAAAAGAAAGTATAGCGATCCCGGGTTTACCCTTGTTGTACAGTGATCCGGACATGTGTCCGTGGATGTTGGTAGTTGTTTATTATCTTGTTTACATCCTCTTTACTTTGTATATTGAGTTATAGGATGTGTTGGGAAGGTTTGTTACAGGTTGGTTGTGTTTGGGAGCATTCTGAAAGCACCGTGGAGAGGACGAATCTGTCTTAAGATTGTAGTACAATCTTCACTGTATTTAAAAAGATTAAATTCTGTTGTGTACAAAACAACAACAAGAATATAAAGAAATAAAGAAAATGAGAGAATTTGTTTGATTAGAAAAATCAAACTCGAAATAAAAATAAATAAATAAAAATAGATTTTATTTTGTTACAAAAACAAAATAAAAACAGATTTTATTTTGTTACAAAAACAAAATTTAAATCTGATTTTAATTATTTATTTTTATTTCGAGTTTGATTTTTGTAATCAAACAAATTCTCTCCTTTTCTTTATTTCTTTATATTCTTGTTGTTGTTTTGTACACAACAGAATTTAATCTTTTTAAATACAGTGAAGATTGTCCTATAACCACAGCAAACACAATCAAAGCAAAAAAAGGCATGAACAAAGTCCCCGGACCGGAGCCTAAGCACCGACAAGTCCACCCCATCGGACGCCGTGGAGGGCCAGATGCCCTTCAAGGTGGCAATGCCGTAGTGGGTATTCTTATCAGTACCCTTGTAACTGTCATGGAAGGTAGACATGAAGCAAGAGATGCCACAAACACCGATGAGGAAGGCGGTGAGGTACTTGTTGGCCACGTGGCAAGTGCCATTGTTGGTGAAGACAGGGTTGAAGAATTGGAAGAAGAAGACTGTCCCTGTTGGGAGGAGCTTGATGAGGTTTCCAGCAGTTGCGTAGGTCTTGTCTGTGATGTTTTGCGTCGTTGAGCTTGATGATGATGTGGTTTTGATGTCAGCCATTTTTAGGGTTGTAATTGTATGGACACTGAATTTCTTCGCACGTGAACACTCGTGAGAGTTCTTCTGCAAAATAATTCAGATGAATTATTGGTGGATATGTGTCGAAAAAGCCCCTCCGGTTCTTAAGTTAGATTTAGGATCAAAACTAGGGAAAGCCCAGAGCTTTTGGTAATTAGGTAGCTAGGGTTTTGGTTTTGGGCTATCTTTTGGAACTAAATTTCACTAGTGGTTTGATTTGTGTTTTGTGTTATGGTTGTTGCAAGATTCATGCATGTTTGGTGTGTATTTATTGAGAAAGAGATGAAAGAGTGGAGGGAATTTCTTGTACCGTATGTGGTAAGGTTTGAGGATAAGGATTAGACTAGTAGTAGAACTATTTTGCTTCTACCGACTTTTCTAAGCTTCAAAGAATTGAAAAGTATTACAATCGCGTGGTTATGATTTTTCTATACTGATAATGTTGACAAAGTAAATAATTTAACAATTTAGATTAGAATTAAAATAAAAAGACAATAAAGCTAGCTGCAAATCCTAAAGCGACGTAGTTTTGCTTTAACTTTAAACATAGAATGTTGATTATCACAACAAGACCATTATGGAAAGATAGATAGCAGATAATCTTGATTCAAATTAAGCTAGGTATCTCACTCTGTTGCAATTCGCTTTGATCTCATTTGAAAATTGACATTTATAATGATCTTTTAATTTTTTTTCATGAGGTGAAAAAAAATGAATGTGTTTAAGAATTTTTTTATTTTAATTGTATTGAAAACCAAATTGCTAAACAGACCCTCAAAATTGTTCCAAAGATTAATAGAATAAACAATTTTTAGGACAAGATTATCGAAGGTAATTGAGTGTGCATATATATACCCTAGGTATACATTTAACTCACGCATGTATCAGTCATGTGCATGCATGTGTATTTGAAATAAGGAGGATGAATCCTTCTTGTCTAAAAAAATTGGCAACAATTGTGTTTTTAAATATAAATCATTTATTTTTTTAGTTACAAACGCAATAAATTAAATAAGTTAACATTATCAAATCGATCTTTTTTGGTGTGTGAATGAAATACACATAAAATGAACTGTTTGAATCATTGAAACAGAACCTATAGTCGAATCCATAGACACAAACCACCCTTCCAGGGGTAACTAACATTTGCAGTTATATTTATTGGTGCTGCAACAAATATAAGAAAATAATGCTATACATAAATAAATTTATTAACAGATTTTCATTTATTTTATTTATTTTTATCACTAGATATGAAACAATAATCCCATTTGTATTTAATAATATGGTTTAATTATCTTTATATTTAGTGATAAAAAAAATCAGATAAAAAATTAATTTTTGAATAGCATCACTCACAAATATATTACCTTGTTACTCATACTTATATCTAAGTTATATCTATTCTTAGGATAAAAAGAAATGACAAAAAAATTGATGGCATTATAAATCTGTAATTTTTATTACTAGTTATTATTTATATAATTGTAAGAAATGTAACACTATCCTATTTATTTGGTAGTTATGAGAAGTTATGAAGTATTAAACACATATGAAAAGACGATAAAGTACAAAGTGGAGAATATGGAGTATGAAGTGAAGGTTAAATGATGTAATGGAGACATAGAGATGAAGTGAAAGATCATGGAGTATGAAGTGGAGGAGATGGAAGATAGGGTAGTTACTAGGTAATTTTTTCCTACAAGTCTTTCCTTATAAATAGCCTTTCGTGGCTATATTATATTGTAATCATCCAACTCAAATAAAAAACAATTAATTTCTTTTTTTTTTGGTCATTTATATTTTCTGCACTTTGTTTTTAACACTTCCTTTTCAAAGCATAGAAGTAGAGATAAATTAATGATTATTTCAATTGTTCACTCAATCACCCTGATTGTTCATTCAATTATTTTTTTCTCTCTCCATGTCTTCTTCTTTTAATTTTTCTTTTCTTTACACTTGATAATTTTGAAATTCTCTTCATTGAGGTAAAAGAACCATTAACACAATCACTTAATAATTTATTTAAATTTAATTTATAAAATTTTTTTAATCTTTACTAACATGCCCATACATATGATAATTTCTTTTGCAAAAATAATAAGCGAACAAAAGTAATAGTTAATTTATGCTTTGATTTATTTGGGAAGAGGAATTACAAGTCGTAGACTCGTAGGTGACTCTTTATAGAAGAACAAAAAAAAAAACTGTACGTTAATTTCTGTTCACCCACCCCGGGGGGAGGGGCCTCAGCAAAGAAAAGTTTCATGGAAGAAAGCAAGGATATAGAGGATCAGGGGTGTTTTGTGAACTTTCAAAAAAATTAATTTTTTAGCTTTTTAATTTTTTTCACAAAAAAAACTACTACAAAAAAGTCACAAAAATTTAACTTTTTTAACACAAAAAGCCAAAAAAATAACAAAAAAACCAAAAAATTAATTTTTTACTAACTTTTCAACTCAGCTAATAGTTATGCTCCACTGGTTTATAATTTTTTTTTAAAAAAAAAAATCAGAAAAAATATTTTTCTATGTTCAATGGTAATGGTAGAGATGGAGGTGGAGGGGGTGGGCGACGATAGCGGTGACGACAATGGTGATGGTGGTAGTGACCGTGATGATGGTGGTATAGTGGTAGAGGTAAGAGTGGTGGTGATGGTAGATTATTCTAGAAGGGTGGTGCCTCAGGAGGGTGGCAGTTTTATTTCAAAAGGAATCTCTTAGCTTGGGAAGAAGAGGATTTGCAGAGGCTGTTAGGCATGCTGATCTTATATCCTAGTCTCAGAGATGGTGTTGAGGACTCCTGCTCTTGGTTAGCAGAGAAGTCAGGGTAGTTTTCAGTTGCCTCTGTGTGGAGATGGAGGGATGCAGCTAGTGGGAATGGTCTGGTAGTCCCAGCAGGGGTGCGGGTGAGATTGGCCCCTCCAAAGATGCAGTTTTTCTGTTGGTTGGCTTGGCGTAACAGAGTTAAAACCTTATCCTACCTTCAAAGAAATTGGGGCTCTTCATTTGAGTGCTAGTAATTTGTATGTCTTTTGCCAAGCTGAGATGGAAACTATTGAACATGTGCTCCTGCTGTGTCCTCTGGTGTGGAAGTGCTGGTCTCACATAGTAGAGTGGTGGGACAAGGTTTGGGCTATTCCAAGTTCTATAAAAGGACTGCTGCAGTGGTGGAATGGTGGCAGGTTCAAATTTAAGTCTTGGGCACTCAAAGTATGGCAGATTATTCCCTCTGTAGTCTTATGGTCAGTATGGAAGTTGAGGAACCAATGCTTATTTAAGGATGCTCTTCCTGTTCTCCAAGTACTCTGTGAACAAGTTAAGTTGCAGGTAGCTTTATGGTCCAAATGGCACTTGAAGGTGGATTGTTCAGTCCATGATATAGTGTCCAACCTCTACCAGATCATATTACAGTAAGGTTTCAGTGATTCAGAGATGTGTTGTTCAAAATATGCAGTGGCCTTAGTAATATCTTATTGGCTGTAGGCATGTGCTTTAGTTTCAGATAGGGTGCAGGCCTTTTGTCTGATTTAAATCAGACCAGGTTTTAATAATGGGTTTGGATGGATGGTCTAGAGTTGTTGGTAGTTCATCTGGTATGTCTTGTTCTGCTTAGTTTTTTGATCTCTTTTAATTGAGTGTTGTGTGCTTCTGGTTTATATCTAGTGTGTGTCGGAACTTAGCCGGTCTAGTTTTGGCCTTCTATATTTTGTAGTTTGTTGATGTAGTATGCTGCCGTTTGATCTCCTGTATGTTTGGTTTGGGCTGATGCTGTTAGTCTGGTGCCCTGTTTTGTTGCATAAGGCTAGTGGTGTGGCCTGATAATGCTAGTCTGCTGATTTTAGGAGGACTGGAAGATGGATTGCTTTGTGTAGGAAGCAAGTCTGTTTCTAGTAGTATGTTGCTCATACAAGGCTTCAGTATGATTTTAGAATTGTAGAGTAGAGAATAAGGAACTGATATAGGTGACTGCCAAGAGTGGTGATAGGGTATGTCTAGTTATGTCTGCTTTTGGTTTTGCCGTATAAGGGACTGATAAGGGCCTCATGTATGTCTGTTTGAGGCTGGTCTGGTTATGTCTGCTTCTGGTTTGCTATATGAGGTTGTTGGTTTGGGCTGATGTCGCTAGTCTGGTACAATGCTCTAATGCTGCTGTAGGAAGCAAGTCTGCTTCTGGTGGTATGTTCACTACAAGAAATCTAGGCTATTGTGACAAAATTTGAACAAGAAATCTAGGCTATTATTGTGACAAAATTTGATGACGAAATTTTTTTTGTCTTAAAATTTAACCCAAAGATGACAAAATATTGATTTTGTCGTTTGTTTTAATTTTTCTCAAACGTATAGGAGACGAAAAAGAATTTTGTCTGCAAAATTCAGGTGCCAATTTCATTTGCATTGGCTCGAATTATTTTAGCTCATTGGAGATGAACATTTTTTGTAGTATAGGAGATGAAAACAAAATTTCGTTCGCAAAAATGAGGCGCCAATTTCATTTGCATTGGCGCGAATTATTTTAGCTCATTGGAGATGAACATTTTTTGTCACAAAATACACTTTTTTTTTGTGACAAACGTAATTCGTTGCCAATTAATTCCATACCTATTAAACAATGTCGTTGCATATTTTCATTTATTAGGCGACAAATATATTTTTGTCTGGGAAGGATAAGTTATGGAAGACAAAAATATTTCGTCACCAATAAACACTCCATCATGCAGACAATGTCATTTCATCTTTCTATTAAATAGGCGACAAATATATTTTTGTCTCGGAAGAATAAATTGTGGGAGACAAAAATATTTTGTCACTAATAAATTCTAATTGATTGAGTGACGAATATATTTTTTGTCTCATAAGGTTAAGTTGTGGAAGACAAAAATATTTCATCACCAATAATAAATTCTTTGTTCTAGTATTTAAGGATACAAAAATATTTTATCACTAATCATTTCTCTTTATTAAAATGTTATGGTTTTGTGTTTCGAAACATTGAAACTATGACCCCAAAAGATACACTCTGACGCTTATCACTCATTTTCATGTACACGGACCTTGAAGTCGTGACCCAAGAAGACACTTTCTACAAACCCTCATTTCTCTCTCGCACTTGAGTCTACTCCTCTCTCACAAGTATTGAAGTTGTGACTCAAGAAGACACTCTGTAAACCATTTCTTCTATTTCGCGCTAAAGCCCCTCTATTCTATCTCACACTTAAGCCCTTCGTGCATGCCAGCATTGAAGCTATTATGCAAGAAGGCACCCTATGCAAACCCACTATTCTTTCTCACAGTAAAGGCCCCTCTTGCACGCAAGTAATTTTTCTCATTGTCTGAACCAACTCTACCCTTTCCGTCTAGAACACCCATTTAGAAAAATCGAAGGTCAAAACCTCTCGCCACAAAAAAAAAGAAAAAAAAAAGATAATTAATTTAGTTATTTTTTTGTGAGAAAAAATACAGAGAAACAAATAATAAAAAATTTGTAATTTTCAAAATTAATAGAAAACTTTACCTTGTTTAGTATGGAGTTTTCAATAATTAATTTTTAAAATTTTGTGATAAAATTTATTTTCGTTTTAGAACGTAACCTAAACATGACCCAATATTACTTTTGTCGTTTCTTTTAATTCTTCTCAAAACTGTAGGAGACGAAAAAATAAATTCGTCGGGAAAAAAGAGGCGCTAATTTTTTTCTTGTTGGTGCCAATTATTTTAGCTCATTGGAGACGAATATTTTTGTCACAAAATTTAAAGTTTTTTGCGACAAAAGGAATTCGTCACCAATAAATTCCAAACTTATTAGACGATGTCATTTCATTTTCTTATTTATATTTGGTGACAAATATATTTTTTGTCTAGGAAGGATAAGTTATGGGAGATAAAAATATTTCGTCGTCAATAAACTCTTCATGCTCATTTTATCTTTCTGTTAATTAGGCGACAAATATATTTTTGTCTCGGAAGGATATGTTTTGGGAGACGAAAATATTTCGTCACTAATAAATTCTCCATGTGTCGTATTGCATTTTGATTGATTGCGCGACGAATATATTTTCGTGTCATAAGGTTAAGTTGAAGGAGATGAAAATATTTCATCACCAATAAATTCTTCATCCCTACACAACGTTGTTTTTGTATTTTTGTTGATTAGCCAACGAACATATGAGTTTGAGATGAAAATATTTTAACACTAATTATTTCTCTTTATTAAAATATAATCAGAAACTAAGAGACACTCTCACCTTAATCACTTACTTTCACACACATACAAATACTAAAGTCATGACCCGAAAAGACACCCTCTACAAACCCTCATTTCTCTCTCACACTCGAGTCTCCTCTTTCACAAGTATTGAAGCCGTGACTCGAGAAAACAATCTCTATAAACCATCTCTTCTATTTCGCACTGAAGCTCCTCTATTCTCTCTCACATTTAAGCCGTTTGCACATGCAAACATTATTATCTAAGAAGACATTTTGTGCAAAGCTACTATTCTTTCTCACAGTAAACCTCTCTCCACAAAAAGAAAATAATAATAATAATAATAATAATTAAACAAGGAAACAAAATACAAGAAATCTAGGCTATTGTGACAAAAAAAAAATTTGTGTCTTAAAATTTAACACAAAGATGACAAAATATTAATTTTGTCGTTTGTTTTAATTTTTCTCATACGTATAGGAGACAAAAAAAAAAAAATTTGTCTGCAAAATTCAGGCGCCAATTTCGTTTGTATTGGTGCGAATTATTTTAGCTCATTGGAGAGGAACATTTTTGTCACAATATATATATATATATATATTGCAACGAACGTAATTTGGTCACCAATAAATTCCCTACCTATTAAACGATGTCGTTGCATATTTTCATTTATTAGGCGACAAATATATTTTTGTCTAGGAATGATAAGTTATGGAAGACGAAAATATTTTGTCACCAATACACACTCCATCATGCAAACGATGGCGTTTCATTTTTCTATTAAATGGGCAACAAATATATTTTTGTCTTAGAAGAATAAGTTGTGGGAGATAAAAATATTTCGTCACTAATAAATTCTGATTGATTGCGCGACGAATATATTTTTCGTCTCATAAGGTTATGTTGTGGAAGACAAAAATATTTCGTCATCAATAATAAATTCTCTGTTCTTGTATTTAAGGAGACAAAAATATTTTATCACTAATTATTTCTCTTTATTAATATGCTATGGTTTTGTGTTTCGGAGCACTGAAACCGTGACCCCAAGAGACACACTCTGACCCTTATCGCTCATTTTCATGTGCACGGACACTCAAGTCGTGACCCAAGAAGACACTTCCTACAAACCCTTATTTCTCTCTCACACTTGAGTCTACTCCTCTCTCACAAGTATTGAAGTCGTGAAGCAAAAAGACACTCTGTAAATCATTTCTTCTATTTTCGCACTAAAGCCCCTCTCATATGTCTCACACTTAAGCCCTTCATGCATGCCAGTATTGAAACTATTATCCAAGAAGGCACCCTTTGCAAAACCGACTATTCTTTCTCGTAGTGAAGGCACCTCTTGCATAAGCACTTTTTCTTATTGTCTGAACCAACTGTACCCTTTCCGTTTAGAACACCCATTTTAGAAACATCGCAAGTCAAAACCTCTCTCCACCAAAAAAAAAAAAGAAAAAGAAAAAGAAAAGATAATTAATGTAGCTATTTTTTGTGAGAAAAAAAATAGAGAAAAAATTAATAATAATTTTTTAATTTTGAAAATTAATAGAAAACATTACCTATTAATAGAAAACATTACCTTGTTTAGTATAGAGTTTTCAATAATTAATTTGTTATTTTTAATCTATATTTTTTTAGTGAACATTTTTTAATATTATAATTTTTTTTCCTTTTTTTAATCTATATTAATAGAAAACATTACCTTCTTTTTTTAATTTTTAATCTATATTTTTAATCTATCTTTCTATCTATATCTGTCTATAAGAAAAATGAAATTTTTAACTTACAAGCCTTATGGGAGCTCCAATATCCCAATCTTAATTTTCTAAATTTTTGTTTAAAAAAAAAAAAACTCAGCATTTATTGACTTCTATCAACCCACTTTTTGACTTCTCTCATATCTACTCCTAACATCCATTTCAACTTCTCTCGTACAACATGACTAGTAATGAGATTGTTAAATTATTTTTTATAAAAAAATCTTTAAAAAAAAAATAATTTGTATATTAAAAAAATATTTAAAACAAACATAAATTCTTATTAAATCTATCTATCTATCTATCTATCTATCTATCTATCTATCTATCTATATATTACATAAAGAAAAAAGGATTTCTAACTCACATGCCTTGTGGGAGTTTTAATATCCCAATCTTAATTTTCTAAATTTTTGGTTTAAAAACAAAACCTCAGGATTTATTGACTTCTCCTAACCCACAAGCCTTTTTTGACTTTTCTCATACCTACTCCTACACCCTTTTCAACTTCTCCCATACATTATGGTTATTGAAGGGATTGTTAAATTATTTTCATAAATTTTTTTTTTTAAAAATAATTTGTATTAAAAAAATATCTAAAAAAAATACAAAATCTTATTAAAAAATAACATGTTGCAATTGCGGAAAAAAAAAAGAAAAAAAATTATACTATGAAAAATAATTTATATATTAAAAAAATATCTAAAACAAATATAAACTTTTATTAAAAAATAACATATTGCAATTACAAAAAAAAACTATAGCTTTCATTCAAGCAAAATTACATCATTTTCAACTTCTCCCGTATACTATGATTATTAATGGGATTGTTAAATTATTTTTATAAACCAATCTTAATTTCCTAAATTTTTTATCTTAAAAAAAAAAAAAACTCGGCAATTATTGACTTTTCTCATACCTACTCTTACATCATTTTCAACTTCTCCCATACACTATTGTTATTGATTGGATTTTTAAATTATTTTTATAAAAAATTATAAAAAATAATTTGTGTATTAAAAAAATATCTAAAACAAATATAAATTCTTATTAAATCTATCTATTTCTCTCTCTCTATATATATTATATAAGTAAAATAGGGTTTCTAGCCACAAGTCTTGGAAGGGAAATTTCAAACGTGGAGGCGAGAATTGAATTTTTTTTGCGACAAAAAAATTTGGTTGCCGATTGTTAAATGACGTTGTTTTGTACTA